AAAATATAACTTCCTGATTGCTCCCCTGACAGTCCAAGTTGAGAGTCTGCATGCTTCATGGTAAAAATGATTTTTTTATCCAAAACACATGCACAAAACACAAGGAAAAAGCACAGACATGTTGATATAATGTTCATTGACATCAGAATATTACAGCTTTTCTGATCGGCTCTTCAAATAAGACAACCAATAGCAAAACACAATGCAAGTGTTTACTTACCTTTCAACTGGTGGCTGGGCATTCTCATTTTTCTCTACCACTGTTCAATTGGTGGCTGGGCATTATGCCATTTTTCTCTACCACCAGTAGACATGTGTCAGGTTTTAAAGAGTTAACATCAAAAGCATCAATATTTGAATTTTGATTTAAAAGTAAATATGTCTGCTTAATATGCAGTTTTTCAATACACTGTTAGACATTTATAAAATAGGTGCCACCTGATCTTTGACGAAGTTTACTGAAATATTTTTCTAATGGATCAGTTGTAAATTGCCCAAGTAGGACATATTTATGGCTTGTAGCTAAAAGGTGTTGACATAGACTAACAATTCCATTGCAAGTATGGTAGTAGCAGTGTGTTTGGATAATTGTTTTATATGATTACCTTGACTGCCAGCCATATTAAGAGCTATTTCACCAAATAATGATAAAATCAAGTTGGCTGTCATTCAGAGATCTGATTTCAGTTTGTAGAGAGTTATTGCACAGCTTATCAATTTCAAGAGTCTTTAAAATTTTCCACCATGTCAAAACCTTGTTTATGAAGATGACAGTATCATTCTTATCTGCTCCTATTTCAAACTGAGTGAGAAGTGCATTATATGTTTTTTCTGAAAACACTCTGAGGCAAGTAGAAACCTGTTGTCTTTCTATGGGCTTTGGAGCAATAGAAATTTCATTTAAATCTGAAAGTTTAACCAGTCTTTCAGATTCAAAACAATAATGAAAGGTTTCAAACCACAATTTTTTGTAAATTCTCAACATAAAGAGAGGGATAACTTTTGACAAGTGAACAGTTAAAATGTTCTCCTGTCTTTTCTGTAAGCCACAAATTGAGAATATTTTTCAACACAATCAAAAAGCAAATATTTATTATTTTCAGTTAACTAAGGTTTTTCAGAGAGTGTGGAATATAATTTAAAAAAAGCTTGATTTACTCGGTTGCCATTACATATAATAGCTTTTATATCAACTAATACAGAGGTGATTGCCTGAACTGTTAAATCAAATTGTTCAAATAAAAAGGCTGATGTTAATTTTGAAATCTTATATGAAATTTTAGACCTCCATTAAGACATATCAACATTATACCAAGTACTGTTTGAGCAAGTAGAGATGGATCATCAACTGACTTACCAAATAGTTGTTTGCTATGATATAATAACATTTTCTTGATATATACTTCATCATAGAGAATTATGCACCTTTTTTTATTGGCATTAAAAGTATTAAATAAAGATAGCAAAAACGACTTTTTGAAACTTGATGTCATCTTTTTTAATGTTGCTAATGATGGTAATTGAAAATCCTGTCTTAATTTATTCTACAATAACTGTGATGTTGTATAGCACTCAAAAACATATATTACAATATCTAAGCTGTATTTCATTCTAATCATTTTGGGGGCCATTGCTGAAAAGTGCTGACTCAAGATATCCTTCTTGTGATCAAAAGACATAGAATTTAAATATCAGATAATTTCTTCCAATGTTGACCAAGTATCAACTGTATTTATATGGTTTTTGGACAGGCTACTAATATAACACTTAAATCCATAATGAAAGTTTTCAAACCACAATTTTTTATAAATTCTCAACATAAAGAAAGGGATAACTTTTGATGACTGAACAGTTAAAATGTTTTCAGCTAAAAATGCTACAGCTGGACACAGAAAGTCTTTGTATTTGTTCATTAGACTTTCTTTCAAATTTGTATAATTAATCTTATATAATTCTAAAAATGCATTCATTTCATCAATTTGATTTTGAGCAGTACTGGAAGTTATTTTTATATCCCTTTGAACAGAAGAGGGTGTTGATATTTGACTCTTTGGCACACCTGGCTACACAGATTTTTCCCTGAACTTCTATGGTATTAAAATTTGAGGGCCAATGTAGTTGGCAAATAACTGTATTGTTTGTAACACTCAGATTGGCATTTGATAAGAAATTATACTTGTCTGGAAAACCTTGGAAACTTTGATATGTAAATAAACAGACCAATACCCAAAGAAAAAAAAGGTACAAAAAAAAAAAGAACAGAGAACATGTATGTCAACCAAAGACAATCATTTAGCATCCAAGTTCAGAGTCCAAAGAAAAAAACCCCGATATGAGTAAGTAAAATAACTAAGTAAAGTGCTCAATATGCTAAGTAGAGCAAACCTAATTAAACCTAAAGAGCCAGATAAACCTACCAAGGTTTCACCTACATGGATTGTCAGGGAATACAGCCAGTAATTTAATTATACATATATATATATATATATATATATATATATATATATATATATATATATATGTTTACATTCTCATATATATATATATGTTTACATTCACTTACATTAATAAATTAATTACATATCTTGTCCCTCTCTGCATGAACAAAGCTAATACTTTTTAAAAACAATATTTTATAAATCTTGATTGTAATAAGTAAGTGCATTAAAAATTTATTTGAATCATTCTAATTTTGCTTGTAGAAGTTGAGATCAGTTTGTGAATTTATTGCAATAGTGAATTTTTTAAACATAATAAAACAAATTATTATTCTAAAGAGTAATAATGGAAAACTATTCTCTTATTTTTAATCCTAGAGGAAAGCATCAACCTATTTCTTTTCTTTTTTAGTTTAGTTTATATTAAATTAAACTTGAAAAGTATTTGAAGTTACAAATCCTCTCTCTCCAATATGTCAAAAATTTTCATGAATTAACTTCATTCAGTAAAGACTTAGTAAATTGTTTAATTTTCAGGACTTGGTATAGAAAAAAATAACCCCCCCCCCACCCAATCAAAATACAGGATTGAAAAATTCTGGATACAACAGCTAGAAGAGCCATTGTTCTTATATCTACTTGTAAAACTAGTGTTTTTATGTGATATAAAGCCCAATCATTCGGAAAGCATTGCGAAAACAGTGTAGATAATAATACCTATAAAAAATAAGGTACATATTTTTCATAAGTATTGACACTAAATTAATTTCTTTCTGCCTATGAACTTTGAATAAATGTTAATAAAAAAATTTTTTACTTATTAAAAATAACAAATCCATAAAAATAGTAATTTAATCATTTTGTAAATTATTATTTACTAAATTATTTTGACTAAAATTACAAAACAAATGAAATTTATCTGACAATCATTCATAAGTAATTATCATTCTTGAAAGATTGGTGCAACACAATCTTCCTGAATGTCTATTACTCATTTGTTCTTGTACCAAACAAAGATATGTAAATATTCCTAAATAAATATAATTTGTGGAAGTGCCTGTGGAAGTGCATAATGGTAAGCAACACAGAAAATGGAATCAGGAGACAGAGTTCAATCTCTGGCTGGGACTCTCTGCAGTCACTTTGCACTGTAACAATTATTTTATGCATAAGGTTTGGGTTGTTCAATTTGATTTTGTATAAAGAATGTGGCTTTGTCATACCTCCCCCATCCCCTGTTTTGCATATGTAGTTTTTTTTTTTTTATATATTGAATTAGGTTCACTTATGTAAAAGTTTTATTTTACTATTTTAAAATTGTTACCCTTGAATAGATATTTAATCATCTAGGTTATTTTTTTAATATGTTTTTTTTTTTAGAAAAGTTTACTTTTTTATAACAGTTTGTGTTAAAAATTGTTACAATTGTATATCTTTTTCAACTCAGCAGTTGAAACCCACCAAAATTTGTGAAGGATCCATTTCCAATTATTTTTTCATATATATTGATCAATGAGAGATGTGGTCTCAAGCTCTAGTAACATTCCAAATATCTTTGTGAGGTTAATTTTCTGAATAAACAGAGCTCAAGTCAGTGGATGGGAAGAAGACCTTTTGACAGCAAGGGGACAATGCAGGTCAGCATCAGGGCAGAAGGCATTTGACATCAAGAAAAGAACATCAAAGAAGGCACCAGTTACTGGCCAGCTGTAGAGGGACTAAAGAATTTTGAAGTTCAAGTAAAAATTCTCCTGTGGTTGGACAGTCAAAAATGAAAAGAATTCTAAGAAATTTTCCCAATCACAAACTTTGTGAAGTTAAAAGGAACTTTTCAAAAATGACTATGTCCCAGAGATGCTTGTGGGGCAAGTGAAAGTAGGTCTTTCATTTTTTCTCAAAGGTTGTATCCCTCCACCCAATCAAAATATTGGATTGAAAAATTCTGGATACAACAACTAGAAGAGCCATTGTTCTTATAGTGACTTGTAAAACTAGTGTTTTATGTGATACAAAGCCCAATCATTCAGAAAGCACCTTTGCTTTTTACTGCCTTCTTGTATTGTTTTCTCTTTTGGTCTTTTCCCAAACTGTAATTGTTCCCATTTTTTGATGGTAATCCTTTCAATCTGAAATTGTTATCCTGCCTTAATAGGTACACAAAAGGAAGTTTTTGTGCAAACTTTGTATTTGTACTTTTTCGCAATTGTGTAATAAATGTGTTTTTCCTTCTAAAATTTTACGTAGTGATTGAGACTAGTTTTGTATTGCTATTTTGTGCCTATTATGACTTACTGTTTCTACTAAGTTTTTGTGTTTGGTACAAGAACTTTGATTTAGTAAGAAATAAAACGTTTATATTTAGTCCCAGACAACATCCAAGTGAGAGAGAGAAAGCGAGACAGTAAACTTCCTTGATTGTATCAATTTATTTAGTGGTACTTGAGCTGCCTTTGGTATTCTGTTATTTTTTTTCCTTTATTTGATTGTATTTGGACTGTAAATACCAGTGAGTAGTAGACAGTAACTTAGCCTTTTTGCTTGTGTTTAAACTACAACATGTCTTATGGTCATATCACATTGAAATACTGGTTCTCATAGATCACCAAAGTTAAGCAACATCAAGCCTGGTCAATACTTAGATGGGTGATCACTTGAGAATACCAGGTGCTTAAAGTTTGAATGTGTGTGTGGTGTACTGGATAACAGCTTGGAATTGGAAATCAGAGAGCCGAGTTACAATTCTAGTTGAGCTCATTATATTGACTTACACGGAAATACACTTGGGAAAAGACACCACCTTTTCTCCCTCCAGCTATAGGTTAATTAGTAGGACTTGTATCAGTAGATCATCATCTCCTCTAAATTTTACAATCTCAAAAATAATTTTTGGCTTTAAATAACCTGCAAAAGATTCATAAGCTGTAAAAACAATCAATCAAAAAAACTACAAAACTTATGAGGCCAACTTAAGCTGTAACTTCAGTCAATTTAAAAGGTGCCACCCCAACTTTCAGAATCTTGACAGACTTTTGGGGAACCCCCAGAAAGAAAGCTAAGGTTGTAATTCTTTTTTTCATTGCACATGTTGTTTGACCTTGCTTCGTTGATTTTTCATTTTCGCATAGCAGCAGCTCCTCATAAGGCATGAAACCATTTCTCCCTCCAGTTATAGTCAAAAAGAAGGGTAGTTAAAGCTCTTTAGCTTTATAAAACTCTTCATCTTGCTTTATGGACTTGTAATCTGGCTTTGTAGAAATATAATTGCTAATAAAACTGCAGCAGCAACACTTGATATGGTTGGGGACCTATATATACTTCACAAGGCGTCTTTAGGAATAGACAGATATATAATTTCTGAGTGCCTGCATGAGATAACTTTGTCTGCCAGGGAACTTCTCTTAGCACCTGCTAGGTGGCATTGTATAAAGTAGTATAAAATGAAAGAACTAAAGGATTCAATTTTTTTCTCTCTTTTACCCCCAGGATGCTGTAATGACAAGATATCTCATTTCCTTTCTGGAGAACTTGATCCCAATCATGTATGGCAAACAGACTTTTTAACCTCAACCAAACCATGTGGCACATCACACACAAACACAACACACTTGTAGTAGAATTTTATGAGGGGATAAAATTCATTCCAGCAGTTGCATGTCTCAAGAAATCCTCCTTGACACCATGTAACAGTTCATAGAGCCAATTCACTGGCCACATGCAGCACTTTATATCTAGGTCAAGAAGTCAGCTGTTGGTTTAGGTTTGACAAAAAATTTGTATGACATTCTCATATACCAACAAGTAACGTGCGCTCTTTCTTTTCTGATGTTGGATACCCACAACATTCTGTCATTTAGTTTGATAAGGTAAGTCACCATTTTCTTTGCTAATCGCATGAATATATATTTCTCTCCTTTTCTGAGCTATAAATACATATGTATGTGTTGAATTTATTTATTTGGAAAGTTTTTAAAGAGTGTTATTACTATTAGTAACCACTTTGTATGATAAGTGGTATTTCTAACCCGATTTGAGCATGTAGCCATTACACATGGCTGCATCAACAGAAATCTTGAGAAATTTATCAAACAACAATCATAAAGAAGTAAATTTAATGTGTGGAAACAAAATTGATACAAACATAAATCACTGAAGTCTTTCTGATTGAACTGGTTGGCACTATCAACAAATCATGTCTTATTACAGAGTAACAATTTCTTTCACAGAAATCAATTCTTGCAAGATTAATGACTTGTTTATTCTAACAACTGAACTTCTGACCTAATTGTTATTAACAAAAATAAATCTCACTCCCCACCATGCCAACTTGTAGGCCTATGGGAATGTATTTTATGCCAAGAAGTTTCAGATTCTTAAATCTACATTTTTGATATTCATTATTTTAGTTTTATTACCTCTATCTTTATAATCTTTTGAGCACTTGTTGTAGGGCACTGTTTTGTTAGCTTATCTTACAAGCCATTGATATCAAGTTTACTCCAAAGTCTAATGTCTGTATTTGTTTGCATCTACATAACAATCTTTGTACCTAACAGAATATTTCTTATACAATAGGGTGCTAAAAAGTGTTCTTAGCCTGACCAAGAAATCCATCAAAAATGAATCTGATATTTGCTCAAATTTTAGAAAATTGGTTGGGCCGAGAACTTTTCAGCATAACCTCATATTCCTACAAAATACATCAACTTTATTTATATTGCTCAGACTGTTGTCCTCATTTTTGTTGCCATATTCATGATGTTTTGATTGTTGTATGCTCTAGCCTTCATCAGGTGATCGAAATTTTGAATTGAAACCTTTATTTCATGGGTTTGTTGAGGTATATTTTTCTATTTCCACATGCCATGCCTCTCCCAGATATATCAGTAATTGTTTAACTCAAGTTTTTGTTCATCTCTGCTTTAGCCAGGTACTGAACTCACAACTCTTTGGGTCAAGTCACTGGATTCAGCCAATGCTTTTATCCACTAAATATGGCAACAAAGATGAGGACAACAGTCTGAACAATGTAAATAGTGCAAATAATTACAATACCTCATCTAGGAAATATAGACAGATACATCAACTTTACTTACTACTCACAGATTCATTAATAATTCTCTCCCGATGGAGCAACCATTTTTCTGTATTATTTTTCTTTTCTTAGATTTTTAGGTACAAACAATATTTTTTCATATATTTTTTTTTTTAAGTTTATTTTAAATATTTTGTTATCACCCAAACAGTTGTTTTGTATTTTTCAAAGTGATAAGTAGAAAAATAAGTGGTTATAAAAAAGTGATGAACAAGTTGTTCTTGTGGTTCATTCTATGGGTACTCAATTGATCCATAAGAGAAAGGCAACAGACATAACCAAAACTATCTATAATTCTGAAATTAACTATTTTTATTCTTCTATATTATTTTCAGACTATTGTCATCTTATTTTTTAATACAACATTTCAACTGATGTATTCTTTAGTCTTTCTTTAGATTAATTGTTTTTGTAAGTCCTTAGAATTCACAATACTCTGCTCTTTCTTTTGATAGCCTTAAGTAGTCCAACAGAATCACAGGACTGAGTGTTAAGGTTTTGTGTTAATAGTTTTAATGTGAGGACAGGAGAGGGTGGAATTTGCCTTCTTTTTGACCTGTTGTAGTACTCATTAACAAGGCTATAGTTGACAATCTTCAGATGTTAATCCTTATTAATTTAGTTTCATCTCAAATAATGAATTTCTGGTATTCTTCTAGCCTGATTTTTAAAGGGCAGCTGATTTCTCTCACTGTCAAATTCAAACATGATGACAGTCTATTTTGGGGAAAAGAAGGAATCTGTTGTTGAGGCCAAAATAAAGATGTTACAGCTGTCAGGGTCATTTGTGAAAGCCTCCCCTATTCACCAGAAATAACAGCTGTTCAGTAACCAAAGCATGGTAAAGTATAACTTATACATATTCAAAATATATCCCTTTTAAAGACATACCCAGTCTCTCCATTCTTATCTGTTCAATCTCTTTCAGCTTCTGTCATCAACTTACATTTTATTTTTTAAATGGTTGTGTGAGTGAATGTGTATACAGAATATACAAACTTCTTTTTAAAGAATATATTTAAATTTATTTATCAAAAACTGTTGGTCAAATGATGTTGTAGGGTATACTTCCATCCAGATCCCCAATTAGTATGCATCATGCTTGGCTGGTCAATGAAGCCCAGTCTATCAAGAACAGTTTTAGGGTAGACATTGTGAAGAGATGATTTCCTGATACATGAGTAAAACACTACCTCTTGATGTGCTGGACTTGTGAGTAAAGACCGCTTTTGTAACATCCACTAACTTTCATTTTTAAGGTTGAATTTTTTTTTTTAAACATTTTAATGCTATTTTTACCTTGAAACATCACCAGTTATCACCATCATCCAGCTATGAAAACAAATTACTAAAAGAAAGAAATTTCTGAAATGAGGAGTTATCATTATTTACATTCTGACTAATGTCCTCATCTACAAATTAGTAATTGTGAATTTAACTGTTGGCTCAGTTAGTGCAGTCTTAGATTCATTGTAAATGGGGCAAGCAATAACTGAGTATTACTAAATAAGAATAAGATTAGATATCCCTAGATATGGTAAGTAGAACAAGAATCATTTGGCTACTCAGATTAAATGAAAGGTTCCTTGAAGATTATTTAGATCGACAGAAATCTAAAAAAAAAAAAAAAAAAAAAAAAAAGGTTATAGGACACAATGGCTGAATGTAAATAAAGAAATTAAATTTCTAAATAATTTGTTTCATAAATGTCAAGCTAGATAATTCTGGTTTCAAGTAATACCAATACAGTAAATACACCAAGAGAAAGAAAAATGCTTTTATGCACCTAATGAATGTAGAATCTGTACAATAGTCAATTTTCCTGAAAAATAAAATTTTAGGGAAAAGTGATAAAAGAATGATTTGAAAACAGATTTAAATTATAAGATCTCTTAGTTACATAATTTTCTTTTTCATGGATTAATACTTCAAATCTTTCTGATATCTCTTTTCCCATAATAATGTTCATTTTATTCAAATTTTAAAATAAATACAAATTTTCACTCTTATTTGTTAATATTTTAGTTACATTTGTTTTTCAGTATTGGGGAAAATTATCAATTTTGTTCACCTTTTTCTGTACAAAATATTTCTGAGATATGAGACAAACTCAAAAACTGTTTTTCTTGTACATAAATAAGAAGTAAGAATTTTTAAAAACTTTTATTGCTGAAAAGTGAAAAAAAAAAATTGAAAGTATTTTTTTAATTTTACAATTTCAATAACTTTTATGAAAAGATTGGGCAATTGTAAAATTTTGATCCAACTTTTCTTTTTCAGGCTTCATTCAAATATGTACATGCACAGGGTTTATATATCATGTGTGAACAAATTTTCCACACATATTTCTTCTTCAAGGACTTCTACAATCAAATGTGAAAACACATTTGACTTTCTAGCTCAGAGATTTAAGACTAACATCCTGATCTTTATTTTCAGCAATTTCCAGATAAGTAAATTAATAAAATGGAAACTAGTAACATCATGATTTTGTCAATAATGTACATCCATATTTTGGCAGAATAAATATACAAACAAAAAGTAGCCCAGAGGAAGCACATTTTTGGTTCAACTGGC